TATATTATGTAAACTTTTAATGGGAACAAACATGCACAGAAGCTGATTTAAAGAGGGTCTCCGTGAGAAAGACAAATTCAAGCCAGGCCATGTTTTCAAGTACATTTCATTCCTTAGGCAACTGTATCAGTTTAACATGACATCAGTTCCATGTCCACATAAAGACCCCATACAATTAGAATTGGTGCTCAAGTGCATAATAGAAATAATATGGAAACAAAGGCAGGATGAAACTATGGCTAGATGACATGTTCACAAAACGAGGCTACGCATATGATTCATAAATGGCAGAACATTTGATTTTCAGTCCTATTTCTTAGACCTAGAAATATTTTATTTCCAGTAGTTACTAGGCTAGAGTAAACTAGATATATAATTCCAGACATGATTACATTCAAATTAAAATCAAGATGCTTTGAGAAATGTATGCCAGATTATGCACATTACTTTTTCACTTCTGTATATCAAATTTCCCCTATTTCTTTCAGTTTTGATATTATAAGATTGCGAAGTCCGAATAGGAGAAACGAACATCCTTCCTCAACTTTGAAAATATAGTACATTCTAAGATAGGTCAGCATCTGTTTCTGATAACTGGAACACAGCCCATTGTGAAATTATTAAATCATTTAAGATAAAATTAATACTGTCTTTTCTGAGAAAAAATTAACTTTAAACTGAATAATTCATGGTATATTCCAATATTGATATCTATTTTACCATGAATCAAAAAAATTCTTATTTCAGTGACCTACATAATATTCTGAAAACTTGATATATTAGGTCTTCACCACTGAATGATTTGCCATTACTGATTACTTTCTGACAAAACCATCACAAATTAGTCCTACTCTCTCCATATAACTTTAATCATGATAATTAGCATGTAAAAACTACACAATCAAAATAATTTTTAAAAACAAAAGGAAATAAATTATTCAATTTCTTTAAGAAAAAGTTATTTTTTATTCCAAAATATAGGGTTTTTTATCTAAAACTTAATGCACTGTTTTCAACAAAAACATAAAGCATATTTCATTTTAATACTTATGTCTCTGATATCAGGCATTTGATTCAAATAGACATCAACAATTCCTAACAGGAAAACACAGCAGATTGATTTGCCTGAGTAGAATGCTGATTGGAAAATTCAGAAACATTTTAGAATATTTAATTAATTAATATGTTTTCCAGAGTATATTATTGAACTGTCTCAAGCTCCATATTGAGAATGGAAATGCTTTTTGCATGTTATGCACTGAACACAACAAACATACACTCTTCTGTTTAAACAGAAGAGAATGCACCTCAGGGTTCCACTGTAGAGGGATTGGTGCTCTACATTGGTGTGTATGTGTGTGTGTTTGGTTGGTTGCTTGCAGACATTTCATTATAAAACCAGGTAATATGATGTTACTTCATCTGGACAATGAAGCAAGCAAACAACCAAGCTCAGACAGTCCAAGGCCTCCATATATAATGGTTTGACTAACAATCTGGACAATATAGCAATAAAGATGTTCCATTTTTTCCCCAATATATTTGAATCAATGCGATTGAATTTGCTCTCTCAAGGAATGTGAATATGCATTAAGAATGTAGAAAGTTTCTTAATGAGGCAATGAACTAAAATATATTTGAGTAGCAATAGTCACATATTAAAATAGATGAAATCACGATAGTAAAAAGGGTGCATGCCATTGCTCTTTAATGACTAATTTAAGTGTGATCCAGCCTTGTCTCTTCTGTTCTAGTAACAAATACCCAACTTCTTTAAAATTATTTCATGTTACATATTTCTTCCAGAAATAAACTACTAAAAGGAAAGAGAATTTCTTATTAACTTGTCAATGAGATGCCTATTCTTAAACTGTTTTTTTTAAAATATCTGATATGTTGCTTTTGAATCAGTAATCTGGCATTCAGCTAGAAAAGCAGCTTCCTGTAAACAGATGACAACATCAGTTAACACCACAACGACAGACAGGACTATCAGCTCTCCACATATGATGTTAAACCATTAAGAATGTTTTGTTTTTTTTTTAATTGAAGGGCTCTGCCCACTCTGCTAATAGAAAATACTCAACCACATAATTTTGCAGCATTCCCATGCAATGTTTTGTTATATATAAGTCAAAACAAACACTTTTTTTTCCTTATAAGCACTTAGGTAACAATAATTGAAATTTTTAGAGATAGCAGTAACCATTATTATGCTGCTTGGGAAATTACTTCATAACAGTTACCGTATTTTGGGGAGTATAAGATGCACCTTTTCCCCCCAAAAAGAGGCTGAAAATTTGGGTGCGTCTTATACTCCGAATGTAGCTTTTTTGAAGCTTTTTTTTCAACCCTAACGAGGCGCTAAACAAGTGAAGCGATCTCCCCGTGCTTTGCCTACTTTTCTCATTGGTGCTTCCTCTCAGCTGTGCCTTAGAAACTGTTTTTTATTACCAAGCAGGAGATAAAAAACCAGCAAACTAATGTGCTGAAGCTGACCAGACTAAGGACGCTAGCCAGATGAATACCTGGTAGGCAGATTTTTTTTCCCTATTTTCCTCTCCAAAAACTAAGCTGCGTCTTATACTCCGGTGCATCTTATACTCCGAAAAATACAGTATATCTTTCTTTTGTAAACAAATTTGAAAGTCATTTTAATGCAACATTATCACAAACCACAAACAAAAGCCCGAATTGGTATACAACTGGTATAATACTGAAGTCCTTTTAATTACATGTTGAGCTCAGGTGAGATGAGCAAGAACATGACACAAAAAAAAATTTGGAAGGAAAACAAAAAGAACATTATTTTTCCTTTCTCAGGTTTTTCTCAAAAATAGATGGTGGGTTAAAAACTGCTATTTTTTTAACAATAAAGTTGAGAATAGGTCAACTGAAATGAAGAAAATTGAAATAAATTACCCATGAAACAGCAATTACTAAATTATCGTAAGAGCATACATTCAATAGCATTATTGCATATTATAAGAAATCACCTTTCTTAAAAATGATTATATATGTCTTAAAACTGACAGTAACACAAAGATTATGCACTATGCCATTTCTCCACATCATTCATAATTTTATACATCTTTATCACACTTTAACTTTGCTTCATGTTTGCTTTCTTACTTTCTTTCTCTCTTTCTCTTCCCTCCTCCTCCTCTCTTTTTATAAACAAAATACTGTAACCACTTGTAACTTTTCTTCTAGGAATACTTTCTATTTACTTTCACAATCCTTCACTTACAATCCTGCAATGCTATTAAAATTAAATGTATTTGGGTAAGTTAACCAAGAAAGGAAATCTTACATAAATTTAATTTATAAGTACTAATACAAAACAGGAGAAAAAGAACAACCAACATAGCACTCATAACTTCTTTTATTATAATCTAAATTATAAAAATATCTGAATAACAGATGATGGAATATTTCATCTAATGTGATCTTAAATTAACCTCAGCTATATAGTCTAAAGAAACTTTACCTAACCAAGCAGGTTTACTAGAGTTTAGTACTGCAAGTCACTGGGAATTTGGTTAATATCAGTTCCAACATATCTGGAAGAAATGAGTTTTTATTTATTTGCTTAATAGTATTTATATTCCACCCCAATGTGCAAGAACTCTGGGAAGCCTGAGAAAAACATATTTATATCCTTTCAGTTCCTTTGATCTTTGAACAAAGTTGAAATTTAAGGGCTTGAAACCAGAACGCAGTTTTAAATACAACAAGATAATTTTCAAAATTGTTTTTGCCTGTATGGTGGATGTGCCCTTTATTAGAATATGTATGGTATCTAATAAAGGAAGGACGTTTCTGGGATAAACTCTAAAATCCTGGAATTCTCTTGCAGTGATTGAACAATCCATATGTTTCTTAATTTGTGTATTTTGAAATCTTCTCCCTTTTAGAAGCTGGAATACTGCAAAGCAAAGAACCGATAACCAGCAACACCCTACTTCCAAAAATCCCTTTAGGTTTTAAAGTAGCCCTATGGCTTCTCTTTAGAAAAGGATTGGCAGCTTAAACTCAGCGTTTTGTTTGAAAATATCTTTTTTGTAAACAAGCAAGCTGTACCAGCAGAGCAAGCTGTATCAGCAGATACCTTAAAACAAGGTGCATTCATGAAGAAATATTCTATGCATTATAGGGATAAAAATGCACATTAAAAAGTACCGCCCCCTTATGAAATGTTCTTCTTGAAACATGAACAATCAGCAAACTTCTAATATCTGCAACAAAGACTAAAAGCAAGTGCTTTCTTTCTATAAATCTATATCTTTCTATTCTATAAATCAATCCCTAGAACAACTTGAGAATTCATCTCAGTTCAAGAAAGTGGGGAGGGATGGCTTGGAAGAGAAGGCAGTTTCAATCTCTCGTCTGTCGTAGTATACAGGGAATTCTTGGTTTTTTAAATCAGTTTTAACATTTTGTTAATTGTGTTTATAAAGATTTGTCTAATTTCATTCCTGATCAATCTGAGCAATTTTAAAATTAGCTTTTGGGTCTCTAAGTTAGGCTGATGGAAGGTAAACAATCGTGGAAGTTCATTACAATTTGATTTGTCAGAAGTTATTGTTTTTCTATGATGCTGAAGACATTACAAACTAGGACGAAAAGAAATACACTATTAAATTGAAATTATAGCTCATTTGACACAAACAAATGACTTACCGTGCTCAGCATGAATTTTCTTCATGGTAGCTAAAGTTCCACAAAATATTTCTAAACACATTTTAATGTAAAAGCTCTCATTGTCCAAAAGTACTAAATTGCCGCAATGTTGATCTTTAGAGTTTATATAGAGCATTAGAATGAATCCAAGAGACCTACAGCTGGTTTGAAGTGTTAACTAACATTCTATGATTCCAATTTTATAAAATCCATTTTGTAATTGTATGTATCTCTTCATTTCTTCCAACAGAAAATCAAACACAGAGAACGATGAATACAGGTGGGTAAATAATTAACAGTAGAGGAAATACACTCACGGAAAGGTAGCTACTAACATCCACATTATCTGTAATGGTCTGACGTTCTCCCCTCTGATTAATCTTCCGAAACCTCCGGCGAGATTGTCGAAGAGGCACTTCCCTCTGCAAGATATTGTCTTCATTCTCTTTTGAATTATCTACCTGGAACACATGTTCAGGATCCTGATTAAACATCCAGTTCTTCCATATCACTGAAAGTCTATGTAAGTTTAAAAAATTCATGAAGACAGGCTCAGCATGAGTTAATACTGTGACTGTCTCATAAGAAATCTACACAAGTTCCTGAAACTAAAGCAACACTTCTTCAATTACTCACTACAATGAGCTGAGAGGCCACAATTTCCTTCCGGGAAGCAGTGTTGTTTAAAAAGAAAAGAAAAACCTAAGTAACACTACGTATCTATAAAAGCTGTTCACTGTATTTGAACAGTTTTATATACTTAAAATGGCTACCTAGACAAAAATAAACTGTACTATTATGACAGTTATTATTGTTTGCTACAAAGTTTTATCTGTAAACCACGTATGTCGAAATAAAAAATTATCAGATTCACTTCATATAAAGCTTGAGTGCTGCCTCTAGTTTGTTTCATGACATACAAATCATAAAAGTTTTGAACTAAATTTGAGCAATGTTGATAACTTGTTCTTTTTCATGTTCATTTATGCTATAAAAAGAAAGTCTACATTCACATTTCCTTTGGAACTCTCAGCCGGAAAGAGCAGAGACAAACACATATATACAAAGAACAAAAGGAGACATGAGATAATTCAAATATGTGTAAGAAATATGCAGCAAAATATATATACATATATATTTCAAAACAAGCTTTCCTTCAATTTTCTGTAATATGAAGATTTAAAAGGCCAAAAGTAAATATATTTGTATAATTATTTCCAAAATAGGGAAAAATCCTTTCATTGCCTAGTCTTTCACCCAGGAATTTAATGAGAGTTCTGTGTTTTGTTGCAATTACTACCGTATTTTCCGGCGTATAAGACGACTTTTTAACACATGAAAATCTTCTCAAAAGTCGGGGGTCGTCTTATACGCCGGGTGTCGTTCTCCTGTAACCAGGCAGACCAGCCCGAAAGGCTCTGACGAGCCTTAAATGGCTCTGGCGATCCCAGCTCTGGCGATCCCAGCTCTGACAATCCCAGCTGAGTTCCCTGCAACTCAGCTGGGATCGCCAGAAACCACGTGAAAGGAAAAAAGTTTTTTCCCTTTTACTCTGTGGATCCCAGCTCTGAGGATCCCAGCTGAGTTGCAGGGAACTCAGCTGGGATCGCCAGAAACCACGTAAAAGGGAAAAAGTTTTTTACCTTTTACTCTGAGGATCCCAGCTCTGACGATCCCAGCGAGTTCCCTGCAACTCAGCTGGGATCGCCAGAAACCACGTAAAAGGGAAACAGTTTTTTACCTTTTACTCTGAGGATCCCAGCTCCTGACGATCCCAGCTGAGTTCCCTGCAACTCAGCTGGGATCGCCAGAGCCATGTAAAAGGGAAAAAGTTTTCCCCCTCCAGCTTGCTTACCTCAGCTGCTAGTCGCAACGCTTGCCTTGCTTTGCTTGCCTGAATCTATTCAGGCAAGCAAGCAACTCCCTGCCTGCAATCAAGCAAGGAGTTAGTTGTGGACTTCAACTCCCAGAATTCCTCAGCCAGCAAAGCAAAGCTGGCTGAGGAATTCTGGGAGTTGAAGTCTACAAGTCTTAAAGTTGCCAAAGTTGGAGACCCCTGTTCTATTGGGTAAGTTTTTTTCCTCTTTGGGAGCTTTAAAAAAAATAGTCAATTGGGATTTTTTTAGTTGTTCTTTTTTAGACCTAGCCATTTAAAGTTTAGGAAGTTTTAAATTTAGCTTTCATATAAAAATAAAAATAAAATAAAATAAAATAATATTTGTGCAGCTTTCTGAGATTTAGTGTGTTTCTGTAGTGTTTCACTCCAACTACACAAACACACAAAATCTCACAAAGCTGTATGTGGAATTTGGTGTGTGTAAAGTGTGAAAGTTGGTTTTTTGGACTTTTTGTGGCTGTGTGAGGTTCCTGCTTGTTGCAGGGGCCATTTTGGGTCTAGCACAGCTGCTTTTACATTGTGGGTGAGCCAGTTGTGTTGTGTTGTGTGTGTTTAGAGTGTGAAAGTTTTTTGGGGGGGCTTTTTGTGGCTGTGTGAGGTTCCTGCTTGTTACAGGGGCCATTTTGGGTCTAGCACAGCTGCTTTTACATTGTAGGTGAGCCAGTTGATGTTTTTTAATTTTTATTTGGTGTGCATTGGAAGAGGGGCAGTCTTATATGGCGAGTATAGCCCAAACCCTATATTTTAACAGGAAAAGTTGGGGGTCGTCTTATACGCCCAGTCGTCTTATACGCCGGAAAATACGGTATATGATTTAATTTTTAAATCATATAGTAATTATTAGATAGCCATGAACTTAGCATATGCAGAAACAACTGATTTCAAACAGTGAATTAAACAGACACTTAAATGACTTCCACTAAGTTAATGAATCTTAAAAATGCAAATCTTTGAAAAAGACTGAATAAAACATAATAGTTATTTCAGGAATGATCCATTTATGACAACAGCAATGTATTTATCCATTTATCAGAGAATATACACTGACACTACAATATTCAAGTGCTTTCTCCAGAAGTTTATAAATATAAATAATATCTATTAATTATGTAAATTATTTAAGCAAATCATATTCTTCTTACTTCATTAAAAAATAAAGCATACTTTTAATCCATCAAATTACTCATTGTTTTATTTAGTTCTAAATACCATTGCAGATGTGCCTATAGTTATCTTCAGACTAGTTTTCATGCTACACAACATGCTGTCATAATGTAATGCAACCAATCCTGGTTGCTACAACAGAGCCCAGAATTCAAAAATAAATATAACATATAAATAAGGTTGCAAAATACAGCTTACTGTACTTGACACATCATACATTGTTGATCCTTTTACAAAACCTTTGACAAGGGGTAGCTGGGCAATTATCAAAGATACTATCAGAACTATAATTCTGTTTCAGAAGTTTCCAAAGAAGATTGAACTACATGAGTCAGGAAATCGCTTCTAACTCTGATTCTACGCTTAGTGAACACTGAAAATGTAGTAATTCCCCATTAATAATACCTTGCCTGGCAGGGAAACCCCCAATGTAAAAAAAAACTCCCCATGAAATAACTCATAAAATCTTCCAGCAAATTCTCAAGTTGCACGTGTATGTGTATTTGTTCTTTTATGGTATATAGCATTTACCATACAATCACTTTCCAATTTTCATACTATCAAAACAACCTTGTAACACAATGAAAAACGCAAACACACACTTGAAAATTGATCTGCAATGTTTTCATTCCATGTTTCTTTCATTCATGTCTTCAATAGTATATTTGTATTTCATACACTCTTCTATCTTCTACATCAGCTCTTCCTTAAGTGCTTATTTACTTATGAGATAAGTAAATATTAGATATTCCATCTTTCATTCAGGAGCAAAACGTAACATACAGGCAGAACTGCCTTTCTCTGAGAGTAGCTACCCATCCTACCTAATAGGATAGGATAGGACACTCCCATGAAATCTTGCCATCTAGTGGAAGTAGAAGCGTTATGGAACATCTTCATCCCAGTGTTGTTTTTTTCCCACCCTGGTGCTAGCACAGAATAGGGATATCTAAAGCTGGTTGTTGGGAATTTCAAAGGGATGGTTGAGATGCTGGGTTTGTTGTTTTTGATTTTATAGTTATTTATTTTATTGTTGTGGGGCATCCAGAGTTGTGTTTAAGTTGGGCAGCCATGCAAATGTTTAATTAATTAATTAAAAACTTAGCACTATTTCTACATATATAGAGGTGCTTAAAAGTTTATGAACCCTTTTGAATGTTCAATATTTCTGCATAAATATGACCTAAAACTAGTTAAAGACAACCTACTTAAATGAATAAGTAAGAACATTATACTTGTTCATTTATTTATTGAGGGAAATGATCCAAAGCTACATGTCACAGAAGTACATGAACCTTTTAAGATTTTCAGTTCATTTGAATGGGAAATTAAGGTGTTTCAATAAGGGGATGATAACCAGATGTGAGTATGGAAGATCCTGACTTAATTAAGAATAGAATTTTGTATTCTATTCATCAAAGTCTGACCTTCACAATGCAAGTCTATTGTAATGAGTCATGACTCAAATAAAGGAGTTATCTGAGAAAATCTCTGAAAAACTATGACTGATACTCTGCAGGCTGGGAAAGATTACAAAAGTATTGTGTTTTTAAAATAAATTTATTAAAGATTTTTAAAATAATAAAGAATAAGACAAAATAAGACAGAGAAGAAAAAGGGAAAGTGCAGAAAAATAGAAAATAAACATGTACACAAAAATATATTTAAGTGACTCCCAATCTTCTCAGCAAAAGACTTAACATCATTCCTCCTCCTCTTTGACATTACATTACATAGAATATTTCTTCCCAGATTCAATGCTTTTTTGATCGATAGATACAAAAATCATTAACTGTGTTCTATCCATTTTCAACAAAAAGTCCATAAAATGTTTTCAGTATTTTGTAAATGTGCTTATTGCCTTATCCCTGATCAAACAGGTCAATTTTGTATTCTTTTCTATTCTGTAGTATTCTGCGACTATTGTTTGTTAATTTGACATTAAAATGCTGTTGTAGAAACTGATCACTAACCATATTTTCTTCCTCCTATCTTAAAAAAAATTCTTAAGGCTTAATTTAATTTAATTTAATATTTAAATTTATATACCACCCTTCTCCCGAAGGACTCAGGGCGGTGAACAGCCATAGGTAAAAAACATGTTCTTCTAAAGACAGCCGTGCATCCAGGAGGACACCCAAGTTGCAAGCCCTCTCCGTGGGGGCCAGCGACTCGCACCCAATAGTCAGAGATGGCACCAACTGACTATATCGGGATGCTGGGAGCCACAGCCACTCGGTCTTGGATGGGTTGAGCTTGAGCCTGTTTCTCCCCATCCAGATCCGCACGGCCGCCAGACACCAGGACATCACGTCAAGGGCATCATTGGGGTTGTCCGGGGTGGAGATGTACAGCTGAGTGTCATCAGCGTACTGATGGTAGTTCACCCCAAAACCACGG